ATATATATATATATATATATATATATATATATATATATATATATATATATATATATATATATAAATCTTTAGAAAAGATTTATACATACGAGACAGTAATAGGATGTGAAATATGATTTAGGTCTCCAACAGATCATTTATCCAGAAAACGAGTATTTCAACCGCAAATGAAAAATAAACAAAACAGATACCTCGACCAATACATTCATTTTTCACCTCGTTGAGTAAATGACTACGAGTAACATACTCTTTCCCGTCAGTTGTGAACAGAATATCGATAGCTTTTGATCTGATTAGCATTGATATCAACTCCACGCAGTTATTCTCCGATAATCTTAAAAGAAATGGTTAGTGATGACAGTAAAGAGGTGTCATTTTTAATGGTTTTTTTAAAATCTTGAATCAATTTCGAAAAAAAGACAACAAGAAATCCACTTTTTCGAACTTTCTGCCAGTTGTATTCGCTGAAAATCAGTTGCCAAACGCTGTATATCTGCCCATGTGGCACTCATTGTCTTAAGCTGAAATGAATAAAAGTCCCTTTAGAGCGAATAGAATACAAACAGAATCTTACCATTTTAAGCCACTGTTCCCAGATTCCAGCTATGTATGAAGGGAAAACACCATCCCACAAGCAGTAAACAAATCCTGAACAAGTTGTGCTTCTTTTATAAAGATGGGTAGGTTGTAAAAATACCAGCTGAAATCAGACCCCCCCAAACTCAAACATCACGTTGGTCGCTTACTGCAGTTCAGAAATCTTAGATAAATTGTTAAATTCCAAAAATGCTACTTACACCATACATCTCAGACACTATCTGCGTTATTCTAATGAATTCGCTGAAATTCCTTATTCCATAAACAAAAACCCATCACTTTCTCTCAAGTAGTTTTTAAAATTCCAACAAACGATTGGTGAAAAGATGCCATGACAATAATAGCAGTAATATATTATCCTTTTATTATATGATAAATAACATCACAGCCGCACTGATAAAGACATAATTAACAGATTAATTAACACAAATAGATACATAACCCGTTGAAAATATTGATAACACAAAGTCTGTCAAATTTAAAGTTTCAGAAAAGAAACCGGACTTTCTGGAATTTTAAGTGGGATTCAAACTTAAAACTACTTGATGACTAAAAAATATTGAGGCTATCGGCAACATAATCTTATAAGTGAACAGAATAAGAAGTTAATGGAATGAATTAAATAACAGATGTTAAAAAAGTGCCCTTATAAAAACTCATTAAAAAATTGCTCCAATATATTACATGACAGCTCATATTCAAAACTTAAGTGGATTTAGCAGCGCAAAGCAATGAAGGAAGATTGATGCAAATGATTTAAAATACCTGGACAACATATAACACATTACATAAAAAATGTGCTTCAGTAGTATCGTATATTATCATACTGGACAATGCAGAAGCCTCACGTAAGAATGCAGAAGCCTCATGTAAGAAATTCATTCTGATGATACCCACGGTAGCATCAATAAATTTATAAAATAGACTTTTAGTAAAAGTGTGAAATAAATGAGGAGCATCGCAATAACATGCAATCACTCTTCATGCTTCTTCTGTAATGTTAGCTGTACTATGGAGTGACTGAATCAAGCTGGGGGATTTGGATAATTTCTGCTGGAGAATTTGTTCGCAACATCAATGCCTCTATATCTGATATTTCAATGTGATATGATGACGCTAATGTTTTGAAATAGTCCAAATCTAACAACAGTTGCCGCCTTATTTTATTTTCATCGGAATCGGCATTATTCTCATTTATTGCCAATGACTTTCGCTTAAAACGTTGCAAACTTGTCTCTGTTTGCTCAACAGATTTGAGAACCTAAAACTGTTTATTTAAATAAACTGCATTAGCAATATTTGAATGATTTGAAATATCTACCACAAAAAGTAGTCAGTAAAAAATAATGTTTTGAAGGACGTAACGGTGAACTTGGCAAGCAAAAATAGTAGGATTGTCTTCAGTAATTAAAATTTTTCAATGTAGCTTAGTTAAGCAAAGATTTAGGAAGACAAGACTATAAAAAGTACCTCTTTTACCTTCGCGCAAAATATCTCTAGTAACTCCGCAAATATTTGTTTGTACACAGACGTAATGTTTTCTTCATTCCAACAACAACGATTCATTTCATCCTAAGACTTTGTAACATTGACAAAAAATAACTGAAAAATCAGAAACACCCACAAGTAGTTCCAAAAAACTTTAAAAATTAGTTAAAATTCAATGTCTTGAAAATCCAGAAGAGTTGTTTCAAAATAAACCTTGAATAATTTGAGTGCAGTCGTTGTTTCACTAACATAGGGCGATATTTCGGTTGGTGGAGGCTTTTTCGTCCAGCGATACTGGCGAGGAATCCCGCAAACACCATCTAAAATCTGAAAAGTTATTTAGTAATTTGTTGGAAAATTTCAATGTGTGTAACGTATTTCAAATCATAATATTGACAAATCTGTTCTTTAAAGCACTCTACAATTAATAAAGTCCTGGAATTATATATCAAAAATGTACCATCCATATTCCTTTCTTTGCACAGCTATGATAGAAAAATGATAGGATAACAGCTCCTAAAAGGCTAAAACGAAGTTCTTTCATTTGTTTAAATTTTGGCTTTAACACAACGTTCCACGCATTGAACAACTCCACAGTAGAAATGATAAATATTATTCGTATGGTACTTGTGGAAGTTGCATGTTACTGTCGTTGCGACCAAGAGAATCAGGCAAGTTGTATCTTGGGTAAAGTAACAGTAATCTTATATAGGCTAATTGAAATGGTGTACATTAAATAAACAATGAACACTGAAGGTAAAATCAGCCATTCATGCAAAAGCATTCCATGACTTGCATGAATTTCAAAAAACCGTGCCGTATGTATTTAATTAATAGGTCAGAAATGCACCTTTGTCAACGATGTAACGGCATCTTCAACGATGAATTTTTTTAATTCTTGCGTCTTTTCACCTATCTCAGTTGAAAAAATCGATAAACATTGCCCAAACATTGTCACATCCAGCTGAAATTCCATCAATAACAAATCATTAGAAAATCATGAAATAGCGTTAAAAGAAAGCTGAGAACTTCATACCTCATGTTCCCGAATTTTCGGCCAAATTGATGACAATGCGATTCCAAAAGTTCGACTATCAACAGTCACACAATCAGCACACAGAGCACAAAACGCACGCCAAATTTCAAAATCTTTAGGTCCCTTTTTGTTAGTCCAATAATGACTGAAAATGTTACTGAAATTGTAAAATGTGTGCAGCTAAGATCAGATAAAAATAATTCTCTTGTATTTTTAATGGAACTATCGAAAATTCCCATCACGAAAAAAACAAACATTTCCACCTCTTGATTCCTTCGATCCATTCCAAATATTTGATGAGGACTTTAAGCGTAAAATCCCAAAATTTGTCAATTAAAGTTGGGAGGTAAACTTCGTCAGACCAAATCCTTTCTAAGATGTCGACAACAAGCTTCGAAAAATCATAAAAGATTTTTTCTTCCCATTCTCCTTTTTTTCGTTAGTGTTCAGTTTAACAACAGAAAGATCAAATTGATTCTTTAACTGCGACAGAAACTGTTGCGTCTCCAATTTGAAGTATACAATCAGATTGAATCTATTACGTATCATTCGTAGAATAGTATGTGACTTGGCGGCATCAGGCCAGTTACCGATGAAATCACAGGTTGTCTTGTAGCACCGATGGAAAAGACGATTATCGCTTGGAACAACAATGGAGCCAAAGTACTGAAAAGACTTATTTATTCGACAATTTGTCAGCATATTTATGATTTCTTATAATAAAAAATGAACCAGTCTTTTCGCTGAAATTCCGATCCGATTAAGCACAATCAGTTGAAGACAAAAAAGGTTAACACTTGAAAGCCATTAAAACAACCTGATCGAGGAATGAAACGATAAAAGTAAGGAGGCATTTGTCCAGAAATGGTGAAGTATTTGCGGAAGACATGCCACCATTTTCAACTTTTTGCAACCAATCTTCTCTAAGCTAAAACTCAACAATATCAACTTCCAAAGCTATGATAAAAATCTAATCTGAATTCATGATCAAATTTTACTTTTCAGAAGCGATGATACAACGAAGCGCCTTCCATTACAGGTTTCACTTTTTTTTTAGAATTATTCTGCTCCAAATGAAAGAGTACAATCACGACTTGAATCTACATCGAACGAAAGTCTTAATCAATATTATGGGATGAACTATCTTATAAAACTTTCATTGCAACGCAAGAAATGGACAGCACCTACCTTCCGAATGGTTGCATATATTTCATCCAGAAAATCTCCCAAGTTGCTTCTTGGTTCTCCAATGCATTGAGCAATTATTTCTGTCATTACACATGAAACAGCTGAATCGGTACTCTTATTCAGCGTAATTATACCAAGAACTTGTTCGATGAAGCGACAATCACCTTTGAGATCTTGTACAAGCCAATACTCCGTCAGTTTACGAACATGAGTCAAACATACAGCATAAGCAGTCGCTACCTAAAACTATACCGCTAAAACTATGCCCCCTAAAAAACTATATGTAAAATGAAAGACCAAAATAAGTTGAGAAAGATTAATATGCTGCAATAAACAACTGACCCTATTATCGATGACATTCACCTTGCCAAACCACAGAACCACATCAACGACTGCATCAGCAAAACTTTGTAACCTATAAATATTATTTAACCCATAAAAATTTACTTTATTCCGACATTATACACACTGGGATAAAAACTATAAACTAAAGTTGACAAAGAAAATGATATCCAAATTTATGAAATAAAAAACTGTGAACAATAAATTGTTTTGTTATTTCCATCGTAGACAATAAAAAGGAATTTATTCATAACAATTGAGCGCATTCATTCATCTTGTAATCAACATTTCAGCACTTATTTTCACCACAACAACTACTGAAAAACAGAATTCAACTAAGACATAACTCACCAAAACTGTTCTATCTCTTTTGGACAGCTGGCAATTTTATCAGCTAAGCGTTCGATAGATTTTATTAGGTAAATCTGCCCACGAATTTCACATTGTGCTTTTCGACATGCAATGAGTTCCGTAGTTTTCTGTTCAACGAATTCAGCAGAATGCTTTACACTTTGTGTGCTGCTACAGAAATCATGCCATATTATCTGTATATGAAAATCATCTAAAAACCTTATTTCTAGATTTCCAAGTTAGAAAGATAAACGATTATGTATCCATGTTATCAAACCTCTTCCCTCTAAAAAGGAGAAAAGAACTAGTAGCAGCAAAAAAATGGAAAATTTTCCTTTATTATTAATATCTTTTCTTGAGTATGGTGAAAACTACCTCGATATCCTTAGTCAGTTTATCGACTGTTTCCCTCAAACCTACAAGATTCGATGACAAATTCACAAAGTCAGCATAATCATCATTGATGAGTTCGATCATCGAATTTTGCACAATTTTCAGATAAACTCGTAAATCGTTATGAATTTGCTGCAGACTAGCTCGTCGTCGAGCCAAATTTAGGAATCGTTCCACATTGAAATCCGTCCGACTGAATTGATCCTAAAATGAAATACTTCGTTCCATAAACACCCACTCATTCTTCATTAGCTAATTTCAAAAGTTATCTCGATATCCCTATTTTATTAAAACCAACAGAAAATTATGGGGATCGTATTAGTTGGATGGAACTTTTTAGAGTTCTTTTTAGAGTTTTTAGGATTCAGAATCCATACGAACTCTAAAAAGTTCCATCCAGCTGTATAAATGTAGCAAATAATACAATATAAATTCAACTACACTGAAAGATATAACTAAAAGCTTAAAGAAAAAACTTACGTGGCATAAATTTAATTCTACGTAAGCTTTACGTTTGTTTTTTTAATTTGATCCCACGTAAGCTCTATGTTTGATAAAGTATTGGGACATTCGTATGTCTATCCAAAAATGTTCCAATTATAGAAAGCTCTGGGTAATACACGAGAACTTACAATTGTTCGTAACTTCATTTGGAGTGCTCAAATATGTTTTTTTTTTTTTTTTGTAGCTGCAAAGTGCAAATATTGTTATGAGGCAAATACAAATTAAAATCTCGGAATATGAAAGTAAAAAAAATACCTTATTAAAAACAAAGATGGGATTCAGTCAG